ACTGGTAAATTAACGTTGGGTAAAGGTAGGTGATAGGAATTGGGTCACTAAAAAGGGGGGCGGGCGGCGCAGGATGGGCTGTTTTTGTCAAGTTTGAAGCCCTACCTTTTCTGCATAATATGCCGTTGAATGGGAAGTAGAGTAGTATTGTTGATAATCCTGCACGTGTGAAGTTTGTACGAGCGGGCCCTTCTTAGGACGGGACAAAACAAGGTGAAGGCTATGCAGCAGGCGGGTAGTGAGCTGATCTGGCTGTTCACGCGGTTAAGGGTGCGAAAAATAACGTTGGGTAGAAGTAGTAGGTGATCAACTTGGGTCACAAAAAGGGGGGGGGGGGGGGGGGCAGGATGGTCTGTTGTTTTCAAGGTTCAAGCCCTTTTCTGAATACTAGCTGTTGAATGGAAACGTAATACCCTGATATCCTGCGCGCCTGAAGTTTGTACGACGGGGTTTTTTGAAGAAGGGAGAAAGGTGAAGGCGTTGCAGCACGAGGTTGATGTGCTGATTTGGTTGTTCACGCGGTTAGGGGTGGCGCAAGAAGGGCTGCATTTACAGTTTTTTTTGTCCTTTAGCACTCTCGCAGCACGCGCTGTGCCTAGCACCGCCCGTGCTGCTGAGTCCCGCACATGATACGTGTTACGTTTTCACACCCCGTGATTAACATCCCCCTCGTTATCACACCACCTATAGGTTGGGCAAGGTTGGGTAGTGTGGGCGCACTCCATTCCACAGATGACAGTATCACACCCCATCGTTTATCACGCCGCTTTGTGACCACGCCCCCGGTAGGTGGGGTCGTGTGAACGTACTTCATCCCACGGGTAAAACTATCACACCCCAGCTTTACCACACACCCTTGTTGTCACACACCCTGCGGGGTGGAGTCCTGTGAGTGCCATTTATCACACGGGTCACACAAGATACCACACACCCCAAAGAATACCACACGTTGTAACGTTCAAAATGTGATTACACGGGTGTGGTATCTTGTGTCACCTACGGTACAATTTGGTAGTGAAACAGCAGTCCACCACGGGCAACAACCAAGCTAAACCGAAAATGAACGGTAGTAATTTATCGGCGGCGCGCTCGTCCGGCAATCTCGTTCGAAAAGCACCCTCAGCCAAACCGTTTCAAGAGTCAAATGCATCATGATGTCCAATCCGGAAAAAGAGATGACATAACAAGTACCTTCTTAATCGATAAGAAAAGAGGAACCATCTGACCCACCTGAACCATCTACTTTTCAAGCACCTTCCGCGACAAGTCAACCACGAGCGGATGCGTGCGTCGTGTATCACCCAGACGATTGGTACGGCACCCACGGCACACACACACACCCGCGTGAAGCGCGCTTCAGTTTGTACTCCCATGTGTAACCATCTCACGCAATTTCTGCCTCACCTTTGAACGTGTCATCCCTAGTAGGAGGAGAGCTCCTATCCTATCCGTGGTCACACAGAAAGCACCCAACCACAATTACTGTATCCAGCGACTAGATCTTATTCACCCGTCTATTCGCCGCAAGAGAATCGTGCGATTCCCCTGAATTGGTCCAACCACAGCAAGACAGCCCCCAGTAATACTCCCACCGCTGGCATATCGCTTCCTTCTTCGGCGTTGGCTCTGGAGACGCAAACCGAGTCGTTCGCTCGCGCGACAATTCCGTTGGACCGGCCATCGAGCAATACAGCAAGAGCACGTCCAACAAACACTGCCAAGGATACATAGGTTTCTCGTTGCTCGATCGCCGTGTCGCTCAACTACGGGAAGGGTTTCAACATCGCCTCATCGCAGTTGCCTTTCGGCACCCAGACTACTCTGCCTCGTCGCCGCTGCCGTTCCGCGGCAAGCAGGACCAGGCTGGTTCACTTTAATTCCCCAAGCTATTATATTCGAATCAAACCCAACAAGTCATCAGGTCCGTTCTAATTCTCCTTCCGCGGCACGCTGGGATCCCGACATTTTTTCCTTGGAATTCGCCGCGGTAATGTCTGTACGCCGACCACCGGGTCTGCTCCCTCCTTGACGCAAACACATCCATTCGAAAAAAAAACGCACCAAACCAACACTCGCGCAAAAAAACCTGCACGCCGAAAATCAGCCAGCGGTGGACACAATATCTGGTGATGGACTACATCCATCCGTTCGAGCCTGTCCGCCCGACGGTCCCGGATAACTTCCAAGTTGGAGTTCCAATCGACGATCTACTGGCTCCAATCGAGCCGACAGCCAGCCACCAGCCATATATCGCCGGATCACCAGTCCAACGCCCTCTGTGACGCTAGCGTGGCCTCGATCTTCTCCCTCGCGGCGGCGCTCACGCAGCCCGCCCCGTCCTCGTCCAGTTTGTTCGCCACGTCGACGGCGAGCAGGACGAGGTTGCTCGGGACGCACCCGGGCCCGTCCTCGGACCGGTCCCAGCGGCTCAGCTCGAGGATGTTCGAGCCCAGCGCCCGTCTGCCGGTGACGGGACAGCGCCCTCGCCACATCTATAACCGAAGCGAGCACGAGGAGGAGGGCCGGTGGGCAAACAAGAGAGTGCGAGGTCGACGACACCGGCGTAGTACGTGGCGTACACATCGCATCGGCAGGCAGACAATTAATTGCAGAGGTGGGGAGGGCAATGTCCGGCTTTGAAACAAAGGAGGGAAATAATTCGGGCAAGACCAAGAGCCACTTGGTCTGCACCACAGGAACACAAACATCTGCATGGAAGAAGGCCCACCCTGCTCCGGCCAAGAGCAGATTGTACGGTAGTGGTTTTCTTGTGTGTTTTCGGCGAGAGCCTCGGCCTGCTTTTTTGCTACCACTACGACATACCACCACAATTGTTGTTTGTCTCTGTTCTTCTAAAGTTATTCGCTTCGGTCTCATGGACGTATGTTTGGATTCGCCGCCGGGCGCGCATGTGTGCTTCCATTTTCATACGATACCCCGACTGGGTTTCAAAAGTCAAATCTCGAGCTACGGTCAACAATGCCTCGGTAGGGCATCGCAAATCACGGCCCGTGTCATCAGGTTCCGTTCTTTGCAGTGGACAAGACTGTGCTAAGCCATTTAATTTTATCCACAAATTTCTTAGCTGCGGGCCCGAACTCTATCTATAACCTCTCCAAATTGTTTCGACATCGATGGCAAGTGGCTTGCGTGAAACAACGAAGCTCCAGGCTAGCAATGTCGACGAAACTCATCGCGTTGACTAATCGCAATCCATGCATGAACATGTTTGTGTGTAATATGACCGCTCCGAGGCCGTCACTGCTTTTTTTGACAGGCAACGCTGACGACATTCGTAGGGGAAATACCATCACAACAACCCCCCCCGAAAAACAACCAAAAACAAAAAAGAAAAAGAACGCGCGATCTGCATGTTTACTGTGAGAACAGTGACGATATAACCGAAAACAACAGCAACGAGCAGAACAACGACGATCGCAGCGCACGTACCTGGTTGACGATGTACTCCAGAACGGACTCGTCGATGTCCGGCCAATCAGCGCCGTGCACCCGCTTCTCCCTCGACCGCAGCCGCTGCAACATCTTGTGCCTCAGCTTCGATGACATGTGGCACACCACCAACGGCGAAAACGGCTTCCTTCCAATCTCGCACAGCACCCAACAAGCCTGCAAACGAGAATCGACATGGATTGTTTTTTGTGTGATGACAAAAAACGCCCGAAACGGCGCAAAAGACACAACCTAGCTCTGCACGCTGGGTGGTCGTTGGGAACAATATCAACATCCCTAAAAAGAACCATACCTCCAGTTAAATTGAGTATGGCAAGAGCATGCGGAAGGAGGTCGCACAGCCATCAAGCGAAAGGCCGAACAAGAACAAACGTGCAACTTCGCACACTCGAACGAGTGCAAGACTATGGCGTGCCCGTGTGTAAACTAATAGGGTCGGAGAACAAGCGTGTCTCGAACAATTCAGCAGAAAAATAGAAACTTGGAGCCACGGAGTGAGGCGATCGCCACCCTTGTTGGAACTCCATTTTAGGGCCAACCTGCGCCATGGAAACATGAGGCTTCGCCATCAATCGCTTCGCCCTATTCGAAAGGGTTTCAGTGTGTTTTCCAAATGTGCTCAATCCTGGGCAAACACGAAGCGTACGCTCCATGCCCCAGTTCTGCGTACATTTTAGTAACATGTCCGTTGCAGATAAATCACTCACTGCTCGAAGTTACGGGAGGGGAGTAGTTGGGAAACAGCTGCCGAGCAAGGCGCCTGGATGAACACATTCAGCCTCCGGTCCTTCGATGGCCCTCTCCGCCGCGGTCGTCGGTGCAAAAGTGAACCAAAATGTCAAAACCGATTCCTAGAGTGTTCAGGGTTGGGCAGCGAGCTGATTGCTTCCAACGTCGCGCGGGGGCACGACAAACCTCGCCAAAACTTCCACCACGCCGTGATTCGGCAGCCAGCTGACAAAAAAAAAGTTGTAAGCTCGACTCCCTCAACACCGTTGTACCGCCCCCGTGCGCACCCTCCCAATCACCAACCGCACCATGGTTTGTCCGAAGATAGCGGGCGTCGTACCCAGCACCGGGAGCACTCGGACCCTGCTCGTGAGAGGAGGAATGACGGCGAAAAGGACGCCAAGCAAGAGGAGGGTTGGTTGATTGAAGAACCAGAAGAAGAGCAGTCTACAGTATACATGCCCACCGCACGTGCCCGGGCGATCGCGTAGGAATAGTGTCGTTCCGTGATGCTCATTATCCCGACTTCAGAAGGAGAGAGAGAGAGAGAGAGAGACTGTGTGCGAGAGAGAGAGGGGG